AAAAAAAAAAAAAAAGCTCCATTATTCACATAGTAATTCTCTCTTCATTTAAACCAAATAATCAGTTAACATTGACTTGTCTCAATTTGTAGATAGTTCTCAGTTTGGCCTGATAGGGTTAGTCCTAAATGTGTATGTTAGAGCAAAATTCCTTTTCTGCCTTTTAGTAGATAGCACTTAAATTAAATGTATGAAAAGATAATCAACCTAAAATTCACAAATTCATTCATTCACAGATTTTAATCTATAAATTCATTTCAGTATTATTTGAAATATCAAGTTTGTGGCAATGATACTTTACTTTTAAACCTAGAATACTAATTTAAATGAAAGGCATAGCAGTGGAGCTGTGAAGAAGCTTTTGAACAGTGTTTTTAAATGGTGGTGCTTTGTGACAATATTAAAATACAATATTAAATTACATTGTTCCAGATGAGCTAGGCTATAGGCCAGATAGAGCAGGCCCTGTTTTTCTTAATCAGAAGCCAGCACAAAGCTAGAAAAGGCAGTGAAGTCTTAAGAACTCTGGTTACAAATATTAGTGTTTCTCTCAAACTTGAATGTCCATAAAAGTCACCTGGAAATTTTATCAAAATCACAAGTTTTTATTCACTTGGTCTGGGGCAGCCTAGATTCTGCATTTCTGAGCAGTGTTCTTGCTGCTGCTGGACCAAGCATCGCACTGGAAAGAGCAGACTCTAGAGTTTTCACAAAATGTTAGTATATGAAATAGTGTCAGTCTTGTAAACTTCCCTAGCTTCTGAACTGCTCATAACTTCCACCCTGTTGTTAGTCATTTTAATTTAGATTACATCATAGAACATCGGGAGAATTATTATCCTTTCCTTTCACACTAACACGGAATTATGTATAAATAGGTAATGGAGACCAAAAGTATGCTGTACCTTGTGACAGAATATGCCAAAAATGGAGAAATTTTTGGTAAGTTTTTTCTTTAACTTTTTTTCAATTTGAAAATGTCACTTATTTCCATGAATTAAGAGTATATTGTTTATTCTCCTGCTTGTTTAAAAGTTGGTAGCATGAATTAGAAATTTTTAATCATTAGAATATAGTAAAGTCCCAGTGAGTTGAAAACGTGGAATGTGCTTTATTCTCTTGTATTTGGTATATTAAAACTGATGCTTAATTCTCTTATCTGTGTCAAGTTTGGAGAATTAAAGACAAACTCACAGGAGTTTGTTTCCTTTTATCTGAAGATACCTTTCTATCTTTCCTGGTGAAAGATCAACAACAAATATTTATTGAGCTCCTACTATGTCTCAGGCGTTGTAGTCAGTATTGGGGACACAATGGTGACCTAAATAGCACTGTCACTGTCATGGTGGCTCTTAACATTGTCATAAGCTAATAACTGAAGACCTCACACAAGTCACAAAACCTTTCTAGGACTTGGTTCCTTTCTGTTAAAAAAAAAAAAAAAGAAAAACTAAGTAAAAACATGGAAGATGTATTTAAAGAAAGGGCCCTAGTCAAGTTTCTAGAGCTGAAAACTATATCTGAGATGAAAAATACACTAGCAACTAGTTCAGATTAAACATTGTACAATAAAACATTAATGAACTTGAAGACAAAACTGCTACCCAAAATGAAATTTAAACTTTGATTTTTTTCCCCTTATTTATGTATTTCTTTCAGGTAACATTGGTTACAACACTGTTCATGATTGAGAGGTATAGGGCCACGCCTCCTCAGGTTTATGTCACCACACACCTACCACGAGGCTCCCATAAGTTCTCTACCATAGTCTATCATATTTGGCAGTTGTTTAGAGCAGTTTTAGTAGAACAAGGAAATGGGCCAAGAGTTATAAATACAGAGTTTAAGAGCAAATGTAAGAAGAAAAATGTAGAAAACAAATAGGTAAATCTTTATAAGATTTCTACTGAAAAAAAGGGAGAAGAAAAGTGGGGAACTATTAAGGACTAAAAAAGGGAGAAGAAAAGTGGGGAACTATTAAGGACTAGTAAAATCAAGAGTGTTTTTCTGTCTCTACCATTCAAAAATTTTTGAAGTATCAGATTATAGTTTTACTAGTAATTGAGAAACAGCTATTACTTGTTAGATGTCGTTTCTATGAAAATGAAATGTTCTTAATTGTTCTTTCTTGCTGAAACCTTTGATGAAGTTTAGGTCACGTGTTTTTTTATAAATTGAAGCATAATTTGGAGATTTCTGTTGTATAGCTTTTACTTTTAATGCATTATGTCTAGAGTACAACTGAAAGCTAGGTCAGAGTAAACTGTAGGTTCAAACAGGTGCAAGCAAAGAGCAGTTTGGTCCACAACCTGTCTGGTTCCTCAGCCACGAAACACATGGGGGAAGTAGAACAGAATTGGAAATGTGAGTCCGTGGGACACTGAGCAAGTGGTGGAAAATATATGGAAGATTTTAAGTAAATGATGAGCCCAACACGGATTAATTCAATTGGAGATGTAGATGAAAAAGAGCTGCATTAACGGTATTTACACGATGTATTCAAACTATACGTTAGTGTTTAATCTTTCATGTTGTAACTTTGGAATTACTCTCTATTTGACCTTACAAGTTTTCCTTTAGTGCCTACTTTGCAGAAGGAAATTGTGCTCCCTTTTTTATTTCCTTTCATTAGTTTCATATTTAGTTGGCCAGCAAATCATACCCTGTGTTCTTGAAAAATAGCTTGAAATGAAATCCTGTTTTCACAATCATCACACTGATCTAGGTTTTCATCACCTCGTGTCTCAATCAGTGAAGACCTCATGTTTTACCACCCCTGCTTTTTCCCAGTCAAGTACATTTCTGATACAGCTCTTGCTTCATCTTCCCAAAACATATTTTTATTATGTCATTGCCTTGTTTCTTACCCATCACTTAACTCCCTGTTGCTTATTGTATAAAATTCAAACTCCTCAATCTACAAATAGGCTAAGTCCTCTAAGTAAACCGATGTGCCCAGTTATCCCTACATAGGGCTATGTGTGCACAATCAAGCCGCACAGCATACTTTCTGCTTCAGTTAATAACCAGCCTCCTTCCTTCCTTCCTTCCTTTGTGTCTTTCTACTTTATATGTTTTTTACTTTTATAAATTTTAATATGTATTGTTACTATTCTAAGAAACCACATGATCCTACAAGATTTTTTAGCAAAAATGTCAGTTTCTTACTCTCCTCACTCCCATTTTCCCTTCCTCAGAGGCAACCACTTTCACTTCTTTTAGCTGATTAGCTTGGATTTACCGGCATTTCCCTAAGTAATATACTTAACCTGCTCTTTCTGCCTTTTTACTATTTTTGGCATAATCCTTTAAATCCCTTTTGGATTCTTTCTCCTGGATATAAGAGGCATATGTTAAGAGAAGTATGTAAGGACCTTGAGTGTTTGGACAAGGGTTTACAGTTATCAGTAGGGAACCAAAAGGTAATAAGCCAAAGGTGGTGATGTGTGTAAAGACTTTTTTAAGAAGCTAAACCCAGCAGTGGTATGTAATCTGAATTCAAAAAGGAGAGCAGTGGCTGTTTAGCAGATTATTTCATTTGTTTATTCATAAGAGACTGAATGCTTAGGTAAAGATGTTAGCTGTCAGAATCATGAGAAGATATTTTAATCAAAAGGCTTGTCCCTGGCTGGCACAAGGGGTTAAAGCTCAGCATCAGGAAGCTGTCTACAGCCACTGCAGCACGAGTTTGATTCCCAGCCAGGGAGGTGACCCACATGGTACAGCAGACCTCTCCTGACACACCTGCTGTACCCCTCGGCAGTGTATTTTAGTCAATCTGCCTGTTCTGCTCCTCACTCTGTCTCTGTTGAATCTGTTCACTGCACCCCAAACCCCATACCTCTGGCCTACAATCCAGTTCTTGTATGCATAAATAAACAAAATAAATCTTTTCTTTTAAAGGCCTTCCCAGTTCTGATAATAACAATGAGTAGTATTTATTGAGAATTCCCTTTTATTGGTTACAGTTTCAAGTATTTTACAGTTTACTTGCTTAAATCTCATTTAAAACATTATAAGATAGGAACTGACAGATTCAGTATTTTATCCAAAGTTATACTAGTAAGTAAATGGCACAGTCCAAATTGAACAACGCAGTCTCACAACCTATACATTGACAGACAGCTCTACCTTTAAGAGTTCTTACTGACTCTCAAAAGGAAAACATTGAATTAGGATATAAAGTGAATATGATTGAAGAATGTTTGTGAAGCCATTGACAGCAATAAAGAGTTCTGGTTCCCAATGGAGAAATAACAAATTAAATTTCAAATGTGTTGTTGGAGATCATACTAAGTTTTATATTCAAAGGACAAATTTAAATTCAACAACAATGAGGACAACCAATCTTGGTTAATAGTCAGCAAAAGGCTGGAATGAGACACTTCACAAACGGCAGATATATATAAATGGTCAACTGGAACATGTAAAATTGGTCAATATTATTAGTCAGTGGAAAAATGCAAATTAAAAACCACAATGAGACATTACATATCAAATAAAATGATTAAAATTGAAAAGACCAACCATACTAAACATTAGCAAGGCTGTGAAGCGACTAGTATTCTCATTCATTGCTAGTGGAAGTGTAAAACGGCACAACTTGGGACAACAATTACTTATAAAATTAGACTCTCACCCAGTAATGCCATTTCTAGGTACTTACCCAAAGATGTATGCCTATAAAGCAACTTACATAAGAATGTCGTTTTTCATAAGCAGTAGCAGCCTAATGTCCACCAATGGAAGAATGTATTCACCACAAATTTTGATGTAGTAGTGTAACAAAAGACAGTAGAGCGATAAAAAGGGACAGAGTACTATTTATACAACGAGGTAAACACATTTTACAGACAGGAGAAACTAGAAATGAAAGAATATAGTGTATTTGGTTCTATTTACATGAAATTCTAGAGTAGGCAACAGTAATAAATACTAGTAGACGTTGAGACATGTTGCCTCTCTCCTCTTCTTTGAAGAGGGGAAGTCTGACCAAAAAGGGGCAAGAGGGAACTATCTTGGGTGATGAAAATGTTTATTTTTGTTTTGAGTGGTGCCTATACAGACAACATACCAGATTTCATCTAAGTAGTCACCTTAGGAATTTGCATTTTATTGTCTATAAAGTATATCTCAATAAATCCTTTTCACTCTCAATAAAGGAAAGTTTAGAGGCATAAATTTGAGAATTGCCTGCATAGAAGTTGGTAGGTGAAGTTGTAACTAATGAGAATGCCAAGGGAAGAGGCTTAGAAGGAAGTTTTGGTTAAATTTCTTTTGGAAGGCAGGTGAGAGAAGTGGATTAGTGAAATAAAGTATCTTGGAAAGTAAAGACAGTTTCTGGCCTGATTAGTCAAAAGGGGAGAGAGCTTGGAATAAAAGGATGGGAAGAAGGTAAATTTAGTGATAGAGCACAGATGACTTTGAAGAGACTACTTCTCCATAAATTAGGAGCCAAAACCAGATTTCAAGAAGTTGTAGACACTTGGGGAGCAAGGAAAAGCTGTGCCAAGGATATGGCTGGAGAGGTACCGTGGGGCAAAACAGAGCAGGAGTTTGTCGATATTGGATAGATTTGACTCATTCTGTAACACAGCAGATGAGACCGCAGGGAAAGCACAGCGCACTAGCCCTGTGGGGCCGGGCAGGGTTTAGAGCAGCTGGCAGTGCTCATACGGCACTCAAGGGATGAATGAAAGTGTCGATAATTAGCAATGTGGGAGTTCGTGGTAGACTCAAGTCAGCAGTGCTTTCCAACTCAGGAGGACAAAAAGTAGACAGTAAGAGCAACCCAGTCAGGGGCCGTAATAGTAGAAGGTCCAGTGCATGTAGCAGTGTTGTATCCAGAGAGGTCAGAGTTGCAAACTGTGAGGTCTGAGTTCATGAGGGAGGTAAGTAAAGTCACAAAGGGGGCTTGTGAGCCAAGAAAATAGAATAGTGGA